CTGGCCTGGCACTTCCTGTGGGCACGTCCCCTGGCAACAGGGAGAGCCGCACACCAGTTTGGCCAGACCAGTTTGGCCGGGAAAAGGAGGGGGGAGAACTCACCGCTCCCAGGAGCGGGCTCGCCTTTGCCCGCAGATCAAGATGGCGGCTGGAGGCGCGGGAAGATTGGGAAAGGGGCTGAGGCCGCAAGAAGCTAGGCGGCCCAGACGCCACAGAGTCAGCAAGGGATCCCACCCGAGCCTGTAACGTGTGCGGATTCGCCCTGGGCCAGCGGCCAGTTGCGCAGGATGCTGGGAACCCACCTCCCGGGTGGAGTGAGAAAGCAGAGGGCAGGGGTCCTGCGCCCTCACAGGTGCGGGCAGTCTGACCTGCTCGCCCTCAGACCTTCAGACCGCACGGGAGAGCGGCCCCAGCAGGAGCCCTTCCGTGTCTGAGACGTCCTGGGGTTAGACTGCGGAAGGACCGCAAAGAGAGAGAGAGGGGAGGGCCTCCTCGAAGGGCAGAAGGGGAAATCCCTCACCCTTCTGGGCAGGGGCGTCAGCCTGGTTCCCGCTGGGGCTTGGGACCCTCCTCAAGGAGTCACCTCCGCGGAGGTTGTCAGTTCCCCGAGGAGTACTAGACTGGGTCCATTGAGGAAAAGTCCCCAGAAATTCCTGGAGAATCCGGGGAGCGTCCTGGGACTGATAAAGGCCCTCATCAGTGGCCACCGAATGTGTGTGAGGGGGTGGTGGGGCAGGCTCCCCATGTGGGGCTACCAAATGTGGTATCTAAATGGAGTGTCTGTCCCAATCGGATGGGGGGCCCCCAAATGTGGAGCGACGATCCAGTGGAAGCCTGCGCACAGGCTGTGAAAGAATTCACCTGAGGCAGAACAAAGGAGTTAATAAACAAGAAGTTTATTGGATACACTGCAAGGACGCAATGGGCAGGACAGCAAAGCAGTGACTGTCTGCAAGGAGGCAGTGAGTGGGTGTTTTTAAGGGGGAAGGTGAGGAAGTATGGCCACATACGGCATTTTTCCTTTTTTGGTAAATAGCTCATTGGTAAGTTAGGGCCTATGCATATTTTGAGAAGGGTCCCCTGATGGGCCTGTTTGTATTCAGCCAGGTGGTCACTGTGGGCCCTTCCATTGCTCAAGCCTGTTTGCCTAAAAGTGGCCTCTACAGTATGCTTCCATCAGGAGAACAGGGGAAGCTGGAAAGGCTGTTATAAACTGGAGTCCATTGGAGAACCTGGGTGTTAAAAGTGTGGTGGCTTCTTATTGGCGGAGCTCTTGTGAGGCAGAAGGGGTAGTGGGTTGTGGTGAAAAGGAGAGCCATTTTTCCTCCAACTGGGATAGTAAGGTAGAGCGAGGTCAGGTCCCTGTGAGGTCAAGTCCATCTCTTCCTGTTGGGTCTGGCTGGTAGGCCGGAGGGCGCCCCCCTGCTGAAACCTCCGCACTCCATCCCAGTGAGGTTCACATTATTCTCACTTCACAAAGGCACTTCTAGAAGGGGGATGTTTATATTTTTCTTTGGAAAATTCCTGAAGAACATCAGCTGAGACATCAATACCTTCATAGTTAAACCTCCATGAAAGATGTATGCAATTACTTTCTCAAATGGCAGATTGAAGCTGGACTTGACTAGGCTGGAGCCCAAATGTCCAAACCAACATGGCCTCCTGAGGACTGAGGATAATACAGCTATGAAAGTAATAGCTGACATTGATTATGTGCTCACTGCGTGTTCCATGCTCTGTTTCCTAAACACCTCACACACATCATCTGGTTTCGTCATCAGGTCAGATAGGCACTGGCATTATCTCCATATTTTAACAATTGGAGGCACTAAGTCCTGAGCAGTGAGATATCAAGTAATTTGTTCAAGGTCCCATGTCTGTAGTGGAGGGTGGCCCAAGCCCTTTGGGTCCAGCTATGCAAAGGGGGCACCTTTTCCTCTTTTGCCCAAAACCACTGATTGGTCTAGACTCAGCCCTGGACTGAGCTGGGATTCAAACCCCAGGAGCTCCAGCTTCAGAGATCCCCATCTCTCAATCACTGTGTGCTGCTGCCTCATTGTATTAAATAATAGAAGTCAGACTAAGACAAGGGACGGGGAGAGATGTGTAGGCCCAAGGTGCTTTTGTGACCCACTTCTCCCAAAAATAATCACAAGCTTCCAGAAGAGTCTGTTCCAAGAACTATGTTCTTGACCCATCTCAGAGTAAATTGCTGACCTGCTATTTCATAATCCCCTGTAATTCCTACAAAGATATTCTCCCACAAAGTCAGGAAGTGGACGCTGACACATTACTGCCATGTAACCATCAGAGTTGGTTTCTCCATTGTCCTCAGAATGTCCTTTATAGCAGAAGGACCCTGCTCAGACACTCATTTTACATGCCACTCCCTTTATTCTCTTTAGTTCAGTCTGGAACACTTCCTTAGTTTGTCTCTGGCTTTTATTAAAAAATAGAATTCTAGAAAATCAAATTGAAGATCTAATTGAGTTTATTAAGTGATTCATGAATCAGCACCGTCCCAACTAGCAAGTAGACAGATGCTTGCAGGAGGTGTACAAAATGCAGAGTGGGGCAGGAAGAACACAGAGGGAAAAGAAAGGATTGTTTCAGGCCAGGACACCTTCTTTCTGGGGGATGGACTTGTAGGGTTTCTATCCTGCAGATGACTCACTAGTGCCCAACAGGAAATTTTGACGGACTGTTAAAAGGTCACCTTCCTGGGATAGATCGAAACTGTGATTAGTCTTGGTTTGCTGTGAGGTGGGGTTGGGGGACAAGTGGCTCCAATCTGGGCTTGTTTTTTTCTTTTTTCTTTTTTCTTTTTTTTTTTATCACTTTCAGGACCTTGATTTTATTAAAGATGACACCAGTTACAGATTAGGAGTAGATATTCCTTTATTTGGGTTTGTCTGATTTTTTGAGGATTTCTTGAAGGTTTGCCTCCCTGGCCAGAATATGCCAGAGGTGATGTTGAGATCCTCTTACCCTGTCCCATTGGGTGATGGGCCATCACTTCTTCCTGTTCCTGATGACCTTCACTCGTTTGCCAAGTCTCTGCTGTGTGTGCTCTTTCCTCAGTAACTCATGGGTGTTTGAGTGGTAGTACTTTGGAACTGTGTGAGTGTCCTCATCAATTGTAATTTATCCCTGTATTTATCTACACCTGTGTGTACTTGTGTATTCCTGTTTTATTCAATGAGTCATATCCCTTCATATTGTCGGTTATCATGAAATTGTGCCTGATGGGTCAGTGAAGCCCTGCAGGCTGGCTGTACATCCTGTCGATGTGTCCCCATCACTGTGTAGCACAAGATGCTCCAGGCTCATCATGTGCTCTCGCTGCCTGGAATCAGGCATTTCTCTGAGAAGCCCTAGTTCCTTTAAGAGGAAAATGACATTTATAAGCCAAGATCTGGTCACAACGTATGCTCATTGCTCTTACAATGTCACTGTTTCTAAGAACTGTCTGTGGAGAGAGGTAGAGAAAATGTTTTTTTACACACACCGAGACAAACACACACACATTTCAACTGCTCTCTATCAATTTATCTATCTATACAAAAGCATGATTTTACACTGACAAACTTCCAGTCTCTCAATACACAGGCTTCATTTGGCTTTTTCCCCTCTCAAATAAGTGACTCCCATCTCCAACAGTGAGAAACTCCTGAAACCATGTAGCTTTAATATATTTACTTATTTGATCGATCCCCCTTCATGTAACTAACCCTCACTCCATCCCTTAACACTCATGTATGCCCCCACCATTGCTACTTGGGTTTTCCACACTGTAGTTAGGCTCTGGGGGCTGTCACCAGACCACCTCTCTGTGAGGGCACCTTTCTCACCAAGCTTGGGCTCCCACACCCAAGGCTGCTCTTCCATGTGGACACCCTCTTCACCCTACTCAGTCTCTAACTTGGAGTCACTGTGACTCCCTTCTCTGCCCCTGACCCTCAGTGTGGGGCTGCCCACCTGGCTGTGCCCCACCTATGGCTTTAGGACTGAATTATCCAGGAAGTAAGGCAAAGGAAGAGAAGAGAGGAGAAGGGAAAGAAGGGGTGGGGAGGGGAGGGGAGGAAAAGGAAGAATCCTGTGCAGCTTCTGATACCAGCTGAAATGGACAAATGCTTTTAGCCTTTCTGTCCAATCAACTGGCCAATCAACCATCTCTGAAACCATGTTCATTGTGTCGGGACAGTTGGGAGCTGAGGCTGGAACACAGAAAGAAAGTATGTTCCCTGCCTACCAGAACATCAGGGGAGATGAGGTGAAAACGAATCATATAATACTAAGTGTCTCAATTGAGAGTTATAAAAAACCTGTGCTCCGAAACCTGTAGGATTAAACTATGAACATACTTTCTGAACCATGGGCAAAGTCACAGTGGATTAACTCTCACCCATTTTAACGTATCACATTGGAGTTCTGAACAAGGTCCACCCACCCAGTGAGTGACTGTAATGGTCGAAACATTCAGTCACTGGCTCTCACTCATCAGTTCTACGGATTCCCCCTTAATATGCACGAAACCATCAGTTAATACTTTTGTAAAGAGGTGTTGATTGACTGGCTCAGTGTGATATTTAATGTAGAATATTCAAAATAAGACATGTGATATAAATGTTACTACCACAGTCATGACACTAATTCTTGTTTTCATTAAAGTTTGTTGATAAAATTGCTGAGAAAGTTTTATTCTTGATCAGTGCTCTGGGGAGGAGTTGGTACTAACTGGGGGTAGTCTGTGTGAACCAGACAAGCTGAGTCTACATCTCTGGCAATTATTATCACCTCCTTTACTCTCCACAATATATAATGCTCCACACAGACACCGAGGAAGCTAAATGAATGTACAGAATCCCTAGTCATCCCCATCATGGGCAGTACATGAAGGCCATCTTCATTTCTGGGTTTTATTCTCAAAGGAAATTGAAGTCTCTGGTGATCTGGGATACAGCTTCTTGAAGGACAAAGGGAAAGTCCTTAGGGAAAGTCAGGCTCCACTCACATTCCCATCTCTTGGCTCAACCTTGAGAACAATGGTTTTTTCTGGTCAAATTAACCCTTGAGCACTTAATTTCAGGGGGATCTGCAACAGTTAAACAAGCATATGAAAACCAGGAATGAAGCCCTGCCATGACAGATGCAAAGCAAGCAAGATACATGAAGGACAATAATGTATTACAAACATAAATACTCTGTTTAGCATCATCTATCTCTGATTCTTTACCTTACTCTGTAAGCTCTCAAGACTGGAGCATGGAAGCATTCATCCATCAGGTCATTCAACAGTGTATCTATTGAGTACTTACGGTGTACCAGGCTGGAGACAAACTCATGTTGGCTTGTGTTCTTTTTTGATTTAAATTTTAAGTAAAAAGGATGAGTGTTTAAAATTTAAAACTGATTCTTAGCCATTATGGCAAACAATTTTGGAAAAGTGATAGAGAGTTAAATTGTGTATGTTGAAGTTTGCAAGGTCATCCTGAGTGGGTATTATGTATTTTATTCTATGGCCATCTCCCCTGCTAAAGATTCTGTCACTCTCCCAGTGGAAACATCCATTCATAATGGCAGATTGGGATAGAAAGGAAGAATAGTTAGACTGGAGTGGGGCTGGCAGAAGGTGGGGCCAAGTAGCCAGGATGGCCTGGACCGTGGGAATCCTTCACATCAGGCAGACATGCTTCACACCACACCCATTCTCAACCTTGCTTGCGCTTTTAAAGCCACACTCCCTGAATTATGTTAGAATTTCTGAGATGGGGGCAACTGGGTGGCTCAGTTGGTTAAGCATCTGCCTTTGGCTCAGGTCATGGTCTCAGAGTCCTGGGATGGAGCCCTGTGCGGGGCTCCCGGCTCAGTGGGGAGTCTGCTTCTCCCTTCTACCATTCCTCCCTTTGCTTGTGCTCTCTCTCTCTTTCTCTCAAATAAATAAAATCTTTTTTTTTAAAGATTTTATTTATTTATTTGACAGAGAGAGACACAGCGAGAGCAGGAACACAAGCAGGGGGAGTAGGAGAGGGAGAAGCAGGCCTCCCGCAGAGCAGGAAGCCGGATGCGGGGCTCGATCCCAGCACCCTGGGATCATGACCTGAGCCAAAGGCAGACGCTTAATGACCGAGCCACTCAGGTGCCCCTCAAATAAATAAAATCTTAAAAAAAAAAAAGAATTTCTGTGATGACTTGGGCATCAGGATTTTTAACACACCCACTGATTCCTATGTACAACCAGGGGTTGAGAACCACAGTCTTGAGAGTGTCTGTAAGCTGTGGTAGAAAAGAGCATCGTTCAAAAGTCATGTTGCAGTAATCACTGCACGTCATGATTGTATACATGTTCCCTTCCTGTCAGTGGACTTGAAAGAAATTTAATACTTTGCTGAAGCTCATACGTCTGTGCATAATGATGTCACATGAACTGCACTGACTAGATGGCCCTTATGGATGGGTGGTCATAAACCACAAACATGGCACTCAGGAGCTGAAGGACCCTTAAAGGTCACAAATGGCTCTAAATAGATTCTTCAGGCAATAGGACAAATTATTAAGGATAAATGAGCCCCGGGCACCTGGGTGGCTCAGTTTGTTAAGTGACTGCCTTTGGCTCAGGTCGTGATCCTGGAGTCCATGGATCGAGTCCCGCATCGGGCTCCCTGCTCGGCAGGGAGTCTGCTTCTCCCTCTGACCCTCCCCCCTCTCATGTGCTCTCTCTCTCTCTCTCTCATTCTCTCTCTCAAATAAATAAATAAAATCTTAAAAAAAAAGGATAAATGAGCCCCCCGCCGCCTCTCTCTCACACACACACATCCATTCAATATCTCTTAGTTTAAAAAAAAAACAATAAAACACTATTTATGCAGAAAGTTGTCTTTCTGACCTGTGTTTCTTTACAAGGTTTGAAGGAGAAGTTCTGCAAGGACTCTGACCAGGGCAAGTTTCATGTTCATGATCGCAAACCTCATCCCAAGGCAATTTCGTGGTCCAGTTCCAAAAGGCAGGTATGTATAAGGATTTATGTTGTCCTTGTTCTTCTTACTGAACCTGGTTCCACAATACACATTGGAAACAAGTTAGTGAAACATAAAATCCACAAGAGGTACATGTTCGGGGTTCTCAATCAGGAGTATATAAGAAACTTTGATGGGCCGGTTACTATAATCCTGCTATGCTTATTCTGCTGTGACAATGTAAGCTACAGATTGGTCAATACCCCTTACCCTATGGGAGCATTCAGTCTTGTTGAGGAGATGAGATGAATGCTGTTGAAACAAGATTTATCTTAAACACTGGGATTATATTCAGGGTGGTGAGTAGTTCATACTCTGAAAGGTGAGCAGGATATGAGTCTGACTGAAGGAAAGGTAGGATCCTGCCCCCACTGACTGACGTTGGTCACATATCCATGGACAAAGGAAGCAGGAAAAATGCCTCCCATGATTTACATCATTATTTTTCCCTTCACTTCCCTCTCCTCCCCACTAGCACCCCCTCAACCACTTTCACAGAACAGCATGTCAGATGATTTACGTGAGCACATCATGCTACTCCACTACTCATACTCATACTACTCATACTCATGGTTAGGTATAACCAGTATAATCACTGAATTCTTGTCTATCTGTTCCATGAGGCTATAAATTTCTTGAAGGTTAGACATGTTTTATTCAAACTCATTCTTCAATATTTATATTAAGGAAAAATGTGGATTTGGGGAAATTAATAATGGCATTCTCAGTAGGTATTTTTAAAAACTCCATATATTGTGAAGAACATAGATGATGAGTCTTAAAATTATATGGGAATCGGACGAGGAGTTGAAATGGTGTGTGGATGGGGCCGCTGACATGAGTGAGTGGTTGTTGAGCAGGTGATGGGCACATATAGATGCATTAAAAGTATTTCTTAGGAAGTGCCTGGGTGGCTCAGTTGGTTAAGAGTCTGCCTTTGGCTCAGGTCATGATACCAGGGTCCTGGGATCAAGCCCCGCATCAGGCTCCCTGCTCAGCGGGGAGTCTGCTTCTTCCTCTCCCTCTCTCTGCCGCTCTGCCTACTTGTGCTCTCTCTCTGTCAAATAAATAAATAAAATCTTTAAAAAAAAAGTATTTCTTAGACTTGTATCTACAGAATATGGTTGTGAATGTGTTAAAAATTCTCCATAATAGGCATTTTTAACACGTGCCTGGCACAGTCCCTAACACACATATGTAAGCACTTCCTCTCATACCTGAATGAATCATGAAGAAGTACTGGGAGTGGTCTCTGGTTTCTGTTCAAGAAGGTACAGGACTGGGGACTGCTAAGCTTGTGGGAACCACCAGGGCTCCTGGTCCAGAAAACAGATGACTTGGTCAATTCTGACTTTTTTCAGCAAGTACTATGTATAGATGTGATTTTAGCACTAGGAACACCATGAAACAGGACAAGGGCTCTGCCATCAGGGAACTTAGCGGCAGGGGCTGAAAGTCTAGATTCCTAAAAACTTCACTCCAAATTTTGCTCACCAATACAACAAACAGGAAAGCACCAACTTTTGCAGAATTCAAACTGTGCCCAAAGCCAGACTCTGCTCCCAGAAGAGAAAGCTCAAGACCCCTCCAAGGAGGATGTTTCAGATGGCTAGAGAGCAGATTTCTCAGGCGACTTTGCTTTGGATGAACCCCAGATACCAACAAAGGTGGGAGCTGGGACAGGACCACCACCACAGACAGCACAGGACCTGTGTGTGCCTGTGTTCTCATGAGGTTGTTCCTCCTGTCAGGGATGAGAACTCTCAGGTCCACAGCTTTGGCTCTCCCCACTTAGGGCTAGCGGAACAGTGGCCAAGGTTTACAACCATGGAATATGGGAATGTGGGGGTGAGTTCAGAGAGCTAAAGGTGACCAAAAAACTTAAAGGAAAATAAAAGACCTATTCCCTTCAGTAAGATGGTGGTTAAGTAAATTATGGCATATGCATATATCACAAACATAAATATAGTATGTTGTTATAGTTTAATGTTACATTAAGTAAGTCATTCAAAAAATGTACGGCCAAGATAATTTTTAGTAGTCAATATATGCATGGAAAAATGTCCACAAGGACATAGGTATCACTATTAATAATCTTGATGTATTAGGACTGAGGATGACTTTGGTATTCTTTTTTAGGGTCTACAGTTTATAAAATTTTGATAACAACGATCATTTTGCAGTAAGAAAATTACTTCTAAAAATAAAAAGATGTACAAATAAATAATTGTACAACCACATGCTTGTCATCTATACTAAGAAAATATCAGAATATCCTTCAATATGAGGGTAGGTTCCCCTTTTGAGGGCTCCCTGTACCTTTCAGGACGGAACTCCTCAGGCCCTGGCCAGAGATCCAGGTCTCGGTGAAGAGTAAAGACCGGCACCATCACCACTGTCCCTTTGGGAATGAACACACCACTGATTTCCACATCTTTCTTACAGACCCTCTCAAGTCTATCAGCGACTGGGTATAATCTGAGACTTTCATTCAACACTATGTCCAGATACTCCATCTGTACAAGGGCATCGTAAGTGGGCAGTGCCTGGAAGGAAAGAAACAGATTTTCATAAATTGAGATTTGGGATCTATTTCAACTCAGTCTACACACTACTACTGAAGTGTTAGGAAGGAACCCCTAAGAATCATTTGTTTTGGTGACGGGTATTTATGGGCATTTTAATGTCTACCATGTCCTTTGACTTACTCAATGGCCCACTGACTTGTATGTAATAGTAACAATTAGAAGAGACTACTGGGACAATCCTCTCAAAAGGGCCTCACATCCTTCCCACTACCAAGTAGCGGTTTTTCTTCCTCATATGAACAAAAGTGACTAATATACTATTACTTTTAATCTTAAGTGAAATATGTTGAAGTCACTGTTTCCTTTCAAAACAGGGGCCTCACATCTGTACCATGGAAGGAGAACATGCAGCAGAAAATATTCCCCTATCCACATAAACTCTTTTGGCTGAAATACCCTGCTTCCTCGCTCTTTGATTATATATATAATATTTGGAGGGAAATACTATATTATATAAAATATAAATAATTTGGGGGTGCCACTGTTTCCTTTCAACCCAGATAGGGCAAAGAAGAGGGGGATTGGATGCCACCAATTGAGGGAACACAATTTCAGTTCTAGGGAATATTGTGAAGGGGATCAGAACCCTACTCTCAGCCCCACCCTCTGTTGCTGGAAAGGTCTCCCCATTGTTGGTCTGGGGTTTCACTGTTTGCAAATAAGCCGCTCCAGCCCCAGAGGCCAGGTCTCTTCATAAGTTGGGAGCTCCAGTTTAGGCAGAGGTCAGAAAACAGTGTGGGTTACATTATATGTTAATTAAAAAAAGAAAAGAAAAGAAAACAGTGTGGGCAATATGTGTCTATCACTTGGTGTTATATTTAAGAGCCAACATTGTACAGGTTAAGAGTTTAATAAGGATCCTGGCACCCCAGCTCCTTGCTTGGCTTCTTTACCACAAGTTATGTATTAGTCTAAGAATGTTATGTTGTCTTTCTGTAACTCAGTTTCCTGACTTGTTACGTGGAGATAATTAGAATTGACACTTCATAGGCTGTGTGGCAGAGACATTTTCTGCTCACCCAACACCCACGTAGACCCCTGTATTTCCCTGCCCACGTGACCTTAGGGGAAACCACTTTGCAAATGGGATGTCAACTGAGGAGATGTACGTCAGTTCAGGGCCAAATATTGGAAAAACAAGTGAGCAACACTCTAGTTTCTTGTTACCCAGTCAACAATAAGTCCCTAAATTCCAGATAATGCAGGTAAAGAAAGTGGAACCTCTTTGTCCTGTATTACCCAAGTAACTCTGTGGAGCAGAGACTCACTCCCATCCTCTACTATACCCATGTATAGAAGTAAACCTTTGCTAGGAAACCCTCCTAGATTTGATGGCTAATCTGTAACTGAGGCATAACAGAGCCTATCCTGACTCCCTCTTCAAGTATGACTCACTCATACTTGAAGGAGTATGTTGTACTCCTTCAACGTTGTATCAATCTTCTTCTGCAGTTTCTGTTGGACATCAGGGTGAGTGGCCAATTCATACATAAGGAGGGAAAGAGAAGTACTAGTGGTCTTGTAGCCAGCAAAAATAAAGATAATAGATTGGGCCACAAGCTCCAGATCAGACAGAGCTAAAAAGAGAGAAAAGACATTTTAGCTAAAGTGGGTGATCACAGATTAGATGATGACAAATCCATTTGAAACCCCCAAATCCCTGGTGGAAAACGTAAAAGCAATTCCGAATCAAACTGGGAGTGGTTTCACTCTAATGTCTACCTTGTAGAGCCAGAAAAAGTTAAAAGTTGTCTTGATCTGGTTATTCTGAAGGTCCATACTATTCTTGGACACCTGTTACTGGTTATGCCACCCTCCCCACCAACATAGGTGGGTAATTTCAGGAGATGATATTTCTGTCCAACATACACAGAGTTATCAGTATTGTCCTTTGGAGAATCGTAAAAGTACTTCTGCCCTAAGTAACATGGGCTAGCATCCTCCCCCAGGAAAAATATGATTTCTTTCAGCTAAAATACAGCTTAAACTTTTTCAGAGAGTAAACAATGCTAAGGCTTAATTATCATGAAAATTGAATGATCTTTCATCTAAACATAATTTGCAGGAATTTAAGTGGACAATATTGGGCTACAGATAAACTTTTGCTACTTAAAGTGTGGTCCATGGATCAGCAGCATCTGCAGCACCTGAGATCTTATTAGAAATGCAGAATCTCAAACCTTACCCTAGAACTATCAAATAAAAATCTGAGCTTCCTGAGATGTGGTGATTTGTGTGCACAAGCTGGCTTGAGAAGTATGGATTATACCTTTAAGAGGTTTCAGGTAAGAGAAGACCTGGGGCACATTCTTCACATGGATGATCTCAGATAGGTATAGAAACTATGACACAGACAAAATGCTAGAAGAATGGTGAATGATGTTAGTCTAATCAACTGCATGAAACAGCAAAAGAAACAATGATAAATAAAAGGACACTGGCCAACATGAATTATAGACACACAGAATCCAGTGAGTGGAATTAGCAATGCTTATTCATGTCACCTTCCTTAGTAAATGGCCCCACTCTGACTATAAGTTGGCCTCCCTTTTGATTTTCTTGTAGTAGAAACTAAGCATGGTCCTGTTCTAACCTATTTGATCAGAACTGGATTACATAATACTTAGAGGACTGAAATTAACATGGTACTTGCCACAGGCATGAAATTCACAACTAAAAATAATACAAAGTGAGTGTAAGAAAGGTCTACAGAATTCTGATTTCCCAGTCATACTTTCTGTGATGCTGCTGTGGATAAATTCAACTATCAGAGTCTTTCCCCTGATTGCCAAGAACCCCATGATAATCAAATTTCATAGCTCTGCTGTCTGGTATGGTAGCCACTTACCAGATGTGCCTATTTATATTTAAATGTTAATTAATTACATTTAAAACAATATAAGATTTAGGTCTTCAGTGACACTAGCCACATGTCACGTGTTCAATTAACCACATGTGTATAGTGGTTCTGTATTGAACTGGACATACAGAATATTTTCTTCATCACAGAAAATAGTAGAACTAGATAGATAGATAGATAGATAGATAGATAGATAGATAGATAGAAAGTAGATGTATACATAGGCATACATATATTTTAGTGGTGTGATGGAGTAAGCCCATCCTTATTCTCTAGAATCAATTGTTAAATATTCAAGAATTTTGGGAGATGGTTGTCAAATCATATTTAGCCTGAAATTAACCATGATGGACTATTTCTGTGATAGAAGCAAACTATAAATCAAGGCTCTTTTTTCCTTTCAGACACAGAGACCATAATTAAATCACTGGTGATAGATAGATATAGAAGTGTTTATGTTTATCAGTCCTGTGTAAATATAGTTGATATTCTTAACTTGGCCCACTGAGAGGAAATAGAAGCAAAGAAACTAGAGCAGTGAGCACTCCTAGATCCCAGATTTTGTTTTCTAAATACCATTTCTCACTAAAAGGAAACAAAGCTTCTGGAGAAAGGGCTGATTCTGGGGCTCATCAGGGCAAACAGAAGAGAAACTTGGAATGTCTCACACTAGAATGCAAGCAAATGCTCGGAAAATAATATGGGAAAAGATACAGAATACTCTGTACTGTAATGGGGGATAGACATCATTATACCTTTGTCAAAACTCATAGAATATACAACACCAAGCGTGAACTGTAATGTAAACTATGGATTTTGGGTGGTAATAATGTGTTATTGTAAGTACATTGATTGTAATAAATGTACTGCATGGTAAGGGATTTTGATAGTGGGAGATGCTGTGTGTAGGTGGGGCAGGGGGAATATGGGAAATCTCTGTGTCTTTCAGTAACTTTTGCAGTGAACCTAAAACTGCTATAAAAAATAAAGACTATTGAAAACATAAAAAAAAGAGGAAAAAAAAAATAACACGGAAGCCCATTTGAAAGGGCTTCCAGAAGACAAATCTGAGATAATTGAGCATCTAAATAAAGAATGATATAAGAGACTAAGTTAGTAATATATGAAATATATGAAATCATCCTGACATAAATAAATTAATTAATTATAGAGACAGAACGAAAATCTCCCTAACAATGGACAATCACTCATCAACGTGGAAGAATTGATGGGATTAGAAAGTCACCATTTTGGAGCCATCATAGTAATAATGGTTTCAGCTAAATACCATCCATGGACAATAAAAGGAGTAGGTGAAAGTTTGAAGAGAAACATAGTATTTACACAGTTGAAAAGGCATCTTGCACCAGTTACTTTTTAATTACAAGACGAAAAGTAAAACTTTACAGTATGTTAAGCCAGTGAATACAATTTTAACCAAGTGTTCCGGGCCACCAACCCTGGGGCCATGTGCCTTCTGAGGTGATGAAGCCTTGATGTGAATTTCCAGGTTCAAATTCACTGGGTCTGGATTAGGCCAGAGGATTGACATGGGAAACAAGCTCCCCAGAGGTTCTGATGTAGGTGATCCATGAGCCACTGACTGCCTTGTCTATGGTTGCCCTTCAGGCTTTGAACAAACTTATGGCTGGGTGCTTCCGGAAAGGTCTTACACTACCATTTGTATCTGAACATGTGTCTTTCCTCAATTTGCAGAAATTTCATCTGCTAAGAATCTTCTTCCACATCTCAGAACCACCCCCTGCATCAGAAACTCCCCATCACTGGCTCTCTGAAGCTCTCCTTACTTACCTTTGTGGGCATTCATTTCTTTGGAATTCTGGGAGTTATTCATCAGTTGGAGAAAATCCACTCGGTGCTACAAGCAGAAAGAAAAGTTTCAACAACAAAACATCACTTGTGAAGTCAGAAATAAATTGGGTACATCAAAAACTAATGATGTAATGTATGGTGATTAACATAACGTAAAAAAAAAGAAATAAATTAGGATGCAGGACTTAACTTTTTTCCCGAGAATATGGTCCCTTTAAGTCCAGAAGTCTGACTCATCAGTGACAAAATCAGCTAGCTACAAATCTTGCAGCAGGATGTTTTCCTGACAGGAATTCAGCTATTGTGTCCCACTGCTTTTTGGTTCTTGCTCCCTTGATCCTGAGTTTCTCTGGATTTTGAACACAGCCTTCTGGCCAAAGTGTTGCATACTCCCTCTCCTGTCACGCCTGTTAACCCAGGAGAAAGTCCCTGACTTCAGTCCTTTTTTTCTCCAGCCTTAATTCTTAATGAATGGCTACACAGACCAATCACCTGACCTCTGTAGAATCCATGGGCAGCTTCTGTGTCAGCATCTTCTAATGCCCCACCCTCCCGGAACTCTGCACCATTTTCAGTGACATTCTGGGGTACCCAGCCCTGTCTCCCTGTCCTACACACATCCTTGTGCTGGCTGCCAGGCCTCAGGAAGGTGGAGCAGGCTTGGCCAGCCTGCAGCCTCAGTGCCCAGGGAAGACTCCTGCCCACTCCAGACTATGACAGGCTCAAATTTAACAAAGACTATACTCCACCAGATGCCTCATAGGACCTTCCCCTGGAGAATGTGTAAAATAAGAGGCTTAGGATTTTTTCATTATTTCCCAAAAAAGTTACTGATTTTTTTCACAAAATCTGTAAAAAGGATGAAGGAAAGTCACCTAAAAGATAGCTGGCTTCTTTGTAGAAATTGACATACTGAATTTAAAACTCATATGGAATTGTAAGGGACCCAGAATAGTCAAAACAGTCTTTTTTTTTAATGAAAATTTAATTGAATGTTTTTGGGGTTTTTTGTTTTTTTGTTTATTTTTATTTTATTTTTATTTTTTTATTATGTTATGTTAGTCAAAACAGTCTTGGAAAAAAAAGGATAAAGTTGTAGACTTCAGACTTCCAGTTTCAAAACTTAACATGAAGCCATAATAATCAAGACAGTGTGGTCCAGGCATAAGGATAGACATATAGATCAATGGAATTGAATTTAGAGTCCAAAATGATACCCATGGCCAACTGATTTTGACAAGGTTTCTGAGACCATTCAATGAAGAAAAAATAATCTTTTCAGTCAATGGTGCTGGGACAAGAGAACAGTCCCATGCAAAAAAAAAAAAAAGTGAAGTTGGTCTCTTACCTCATACAGCATATAAAAATAAATTCAAAATCGATCAAAGACCCAAATCTAAAAGTTAAAACTTTGTGACCTTTAGGAGAAAACCAAGGGATAAATCTTCATGATCTCAGATTTCTCCCTGAATTCTAAGATAAGGACACCAAAAGCACAGAAATAAAAGGAAAAATATGGCTCAATCGTTAAGCATCTGCCTTTGGCTCAGGTCCTGGTCCCAGGGTCCTGGGATCGAGCCCTGCATCGGGCTCCCTGCTCTGCGGGGAGCCTGCTTCTCCCTCTCCCACTCCCCCTGCTTGTGTTCCCTCTCTCGCTATCTCTCTCTCTGTCAAATAAATAAATAAAATCTTAAAAAAAAAAAGAAAAATACATACATTGTACATCATCAACATTAAAATTTTTGTTGACGAACACCAAGACCATAAAAATTGAATTTTACATTTTAAAGGGGGGGGGACTTATATGTTACGTGAAGGTATATCTCAATGAAATTGTTGTAGAAAAGTGGAAAGGTTGGGATGGCTGGGTGGCTCAGTCGGTTAAGCAGCTGCCTTTGGCTCGGGTCATGATCCTGGAGTCCTGGGATCAAGTTCCACGTCGGGCTCCTTGCTCAGTGGGGAGCCTGCTTCTCCCTCTGCCTGCTCTGCTTGCCACAGCCCCTGCTTGTGCTGTCTCTCTGACAAATAAATAAAATCCTTAAAAAATAAAAATAAAATAAATTTGAAAAAAAAAGAAAAGAAAAGTGGAAGGGAGGAAGTGAGGGAGAAAGGAAGGAAGGGAAGAAAAAAAGAAGGGAGGAGAAAAAGAAAAAAACGCTAGTGTACGTACTTATGGAGAATACAAATGGATCAGGGAAATCAAATTTTAAGAGCTTTTTGGCATTTTCCATGAAGGGATCTCATGGGTTGTTGAGGGAATCAATGTTCACTCCAAATGATGTGCTGGTAATCACATCCATGCTGTAGGCTCCAAAGATGCTGAGTAGAGAAACAAAGACATGGATAATTAAAATCAGCACCTCTTTACTATCCTTATCCAGCACATGCAGCAAGAAGTGCATGTAGATACCCATGCCCAGGCAAGACAAGAGCCACACCTTCAGAACCACCTGTTGCATCATCTGAAGAGTCTATATGCCATCATATTCCCTCATGTGGTGTTCATGAGGTGCCAGTGATACAGCTGGCCTTGTGCTAGGGTGATGGGGACACTAGAGCAAATTAGACACATTTCTGAGTTCAAGGAGTTCAGTCATTGAGGGATAGAGACCCAAAGTGTGACATATTTCAGTAGTATCTTTTTGAGTATGGGCAATAGAAGGTAGATAAGCACTGTGTCTGAGCAGGACCAAGGGTGGAATAATTAACCTTTCCTCAGGGAGTCAAGAAATGTGAAACTGATCTGGATTTTCTCTCACCACAGTATCTATGTTCAGAGCTGATTCCTCTTCAGCACATGACAGAACACCAACACCCTGTTCTGTGCTGCCAGGAACACCCTCCCTTCTTCTCTACACCCCTGCTAAGGCTCCTGAAAGACCCACTCTGTCTCAACAACAAAGATCTAGCTCACCCTGAGGGCATACTCATTTCTGGAAAATGTAAGAACAAAGAGTGTTGCTAGTTAAAATATATTTATTAAATCAATCCAAAATTGAAATAGGGGATGCCATAGCTAAGTGATCATATGCCACTAGTTTCCTAGGACAGTCCCAATGTACATCTCTTCATCCCGCATAATTAAAATATACCCCAATTTAGGCAAAATAAAATCTATCTATCTATCTATTATCTATCATCTATCATCTATCTATCTATCTATCTATCATCTATTTATCTATCTATCTATCATCTATCTATCTATCTATCTATCATCACCCTACCCATCCCATGTGTGGGGCTTTCTCTCTTTTGAGGTTGAAATATGGACAAATGGTTATAAAAGTTAATATTTAGTGTTTTGCTAATACCCTCAACAAAAAGACCCCTTTAAGTTGTTCCAAGTTCCACATGGTAACTTTTGTGCCCCACCCAATGCCCAGGAATATATACCAAGTACTTTCCCCTCCCACCATTCCATACTCTCTACACTCATGTTTTTTCTTTTCAAACAATGTATTTTTGTCTTCTAGAATATCCAAGGTGATGATTATGCAAATAAATAAATCCCAACTCATGTACACAAAAGAAGACCCTTTCTCTCCTGGCTGCTCTGCCTTTTTAGGTGAGCTACCTCTTCTTGGCTGGCCCATTGGAGTTGGAATACCATACACCCACCTCAGCTTGTTCACTGGAGTAACTCAACAGGGGGAATTTGGCTCTGTGGCAGCAGCTGGAAAGTGTTGTGACAGAGTCAGAATCCCAGCAACTGCACTCCTACTTACTCTTTCAAGTTGATAGGTTTGCCTTTCTCTGCCTCCTTCCTCAGGTTCCTCACCAACACATCTCCATACTGGCCAATGATGGGGAACATCTACACACAAAATACAATGCCACCTAAAGTTAAATACAAGAATCAAGTCCTAGAATGACATAACTTTCACAAGCATGAGCAGTAAGGGACATTCAATAACAAATTTTATCATGTCTCTTCTAGAACATGAAGATAAAAGACCATTTTTAGGAAGCCCAAATACAGTAGAGTACCATTCAGAGATGGACTATGATCTTATTTTCTATTTGTCCCCACGTGTATTCCTTAACTTCCTAATTAAAAGTCCTGTTCTTTTCTTACCTCCTTGAGCTTTCCACTGGTGAAAATTGGAGACAGCAATGTTCGTATTCTCTTCCATTGTTCATCTTCAGACATAGAGATGGCATTTTTCATAAATCCCACTGGACCAAAAGACTAGAGTCAAAGCAAAACACATTTTGCCCTCCATAAGTTTTGTAGGACTCCACAGTTTGGAAAATTTGTTGAATGGGGATAAATTACTCACCAAATGTTTCTTAAAGATTATTTATTTATTTGAGAGAGAGAGAGAGAGAGGGCATGAGCAGGGGATAGGCAGAGGCAGATTCCCCATTGAGCAGGGAGCCAGATGCAGGACTCGATCCAGGGGCTCTGGGATCATGACCTGAGCTAAAGGCAGACACTTAACCAACTGAGCCACTCTTACTCACCAAATATTTAGCGACTGTCTACTTAGTAGCAGTTCCTATGCTAGATGCTCAAGATATTTATCCCAAATGCTTAGCTTCCTGCAAGGCTGAAGGAGGCATCCAGCCACGCGATGTGCTTTCTGGCCTTTGTATTCCAATCTCCTTTTCAATGTAAATGTGGTATGGAAAATTTGGCAGGGAAAATACTCCTCCAGGGGAATAAACAGGAGTAATACCTAGTACATTCTCCTAAACTGTGCAGAGTAGAATTGGATTAGTGGAAGACAGCCAGATAGCCTGGCAAACTGCATGTTGCCTCAGACCAGTTCTGTATTTACATATATGTACAGTATGAGCATCTGTAAAAACAGATGTCTGGATATGGTGATTTTTTTTTAAATAGTGGTTAACACTAAAAAGATTAAGAATCTATTTGCTATTCTCAAGAAATGATGCAGTTACATGGAAATCTTTCCCTCTGTATTTTCCCCAGAGGAACATAGGAAAAAGAGAGAGATAATTCTGTTTCTCAGATTGGGACTGGCCTATCAAGCCAACAACCTTGAATCTTTTTTCCATCTTCCAAAACTATATTTTGTTTTAAAATGGATAGCTCTGAAACCATTTCATGATAAAAAATCACAAACTAGGAAGAGAGGAAAACTTCTTCAACTTGATAAAGAACATCTAAAACCCCTACACCTAACATCACCTCAATGAGGAAAGACTGATGTGATATCACCAGGATGATGGGACAGGACACTCCAGCCTCTGTTACCCCACAAACAACAATAATTAGACAGCTATCCACAAATAAAAATAGGCCAAAGAGCTTAGGAGTCCATTTAAGAAGCTTCAACAACACAATAAAGTAAAACTCCTGACAATAACTGCATTAAAAAAGTAGGGAGAATAGCTTCATTCTGCCTGCATCACACCAGGAGCCAGGCTAGCACTGCTCAGCACCAAGAGGACACTCCATGGCCTCAGAGAACTCCCCTTGCTGGGAAAAGGACAGAAGAGTAAGAGGCCATTAGCCCAGCCCTTTAGGGCACAGCACAAATGACCTGTTCTGGTTTCAAACCTCCCAGAGAACTGGCATGGCTGACATCTAGACACAGCTAGGAACAAAGAAGGGCAGAACTACCAGTATCAGTCAAGTGGCAGGAGTGACCATGTTTCTCTGTGTCCTGCTCTGCAGAAGACCCTAGCAGCCTTTGTTGCTGAGGAACTAATAGCCAGCTGAGCACTGTGCACCCTCTAAGATTTTGCTGCTGATAGTCCCACAGGTTTTCACAATTGCAGACTCCAGCTGCCTCACTCCGGCGGTGTCCCATCTGTACTCACTGGAGTTGAGTGAGTGAGTGAGTGAGCTCAGCCAGTGCCACCACCAACACTGTGAGCCCCAGAATCTACACCACCAGCCAGTTTGGCCTCTGTAACTCAGCATATGTACAACACCAGTCTAGGCCCCAGCAGCTTTCAGGTATCTGGGCCAGGCCTGACTCCTGTCACTGGACTGCACAGCCACATGAGACCACAGCTAAACCCTGAAGCTGTACACCTTCACACGGCTGGCCTGAACTCCACTCATGAGCCCCCATTGCTGTGCATGCACTACTGGCTAGCCCTGAAGCCACGTGAGTGCACACAGACAGCCCAGATACTCAAGGCTACCTGTGTGCTCACAGTTGGCCATGGTACCCACCGCTGGGCCCAACCCTGTTTGGGGCATGTGCCTGCTTTCAGCTCCCATAGATGAGTGTGTGCATAGCACCAACTCTGGACACCATTCTGCTTTGTGTAACCCCAGTCTCCTGTCACTGGATCTGGTAATGCTACTGAAGACCACAATAGCCACTGCAGCCACAAAGAACCCTCCATTAAACTTGCCACCAAGGATCATGCAGTTGCTGTTGTTGTGGCCCCCAACTGCCTGAACCAACCATGCCCTCCTAGATTATTTCAAATTATCCAGTCAAAAATAATGAAAAAAAAAAAAAAAACTAGGGAGAAAAGCCTACAGGATTTATAGGACGCCATCAAGTGAAACAATATTCACATCATGGGAGGCCCAGGAAGAGAGGAGAGAAGTGGGAAGAATGCTTACTAAAGAAACAATGGTTGGGGCACCTGGGTGGCTTAGTCGTTAAGCGTCTGCCTTTGGCTCAGGTCATGATCTCAGGCTCCTGGGATCGAGTCCCGCATCAGGCTCCCTGCTCAGTGGGGAGTCTGCTTCTCCCTCTCCCCCTGCTTGTGTTCCCTCTCTAGCTGTCTCTCTGTGTCAAATAAATAAACAAAGTCCTTAAAAAAAATAAACAATGGCTGAAAAATTCCCCAAATTGGGAAATATATAGAAATCTTGGGACATGAAGCTTAAAGTACCCTGTAAGATTGAATCCAAAAAAGATTTCACCAAGACACATGATCATAAAATTGTCAAAAATTTAAGACAAAGAAAAAAAATTAGAGACAAAGAAAAAATCTTGAAAGGAACAAGAGACAAAGAACCCATCCCAAAGAAGGGAACACCTGTAAGTCTATCAGTGGGTTCCTCAGCAGAAATCTGGAAATCTAGAAGAGAGTGGATGATTTATTCAAACTGCTGAAAAATAACACTAACCAAGAATACCTTATCCAGAATAGAAGGCCTTCAGAAATGAGAGGGAGATAAAGACACTTCCGGACAATCAAAAAGTGGAAAGAATTCACCACTGAACCTGCCTTACAAGAAATACTAAAGGGAGTTCTTCAAGCTAAAATAAAAGCATGAAATCACATGAAAGTATAAATCTCAGTGGTAAATATAAATATACAGTCAAATTCAGAACACAGTGATATTGTACGAGTGACATGCAAATCACTCATAACTCTAGTGAAAGGTTAAAAGAAAATTAAACTAACGTAGCTAAAATAATTTTTAAACACACAATATAAAAATATGTAATTTGTGACATAAAAACCATAAAACTGGTGGAGGAGGAGTAAAAGCGTTGTTTTGAATACAAACAAAGTTAAGTTCTTATCAGCTTAAAATAGACTGCTATATGTATAAGATATTTTATGTAAGCCTCCTGGTAACTGCAAAGCAAAAACATAGAGTAGATACAGAAAAGATAAAGAGAAAAAAAAAATCAAAGCATACCACTGTAACAAAAACCATGAAATTACAAAGGAAGACAAGAAGAAGGAACAACTGATCTATGAAACACTTGGAATACTGAAATAACAGTACTAAATCTTTACCTATCAACGATTACTTTAAATGTCAATGGAACAGAATAGGAAACCCAGAAATGGACCCACAACTATATGATCAATTAATCTTCAACAAAGCAGGAAATAATATCCAGTAGAAAAAAGACAGTGTCTTCAACAAATGGTGCTGGGAAAACTGGACAGCCACATGCAGAAGAATGAGACTGGACCACTTCCTTACACCATACACAAAAACAAATTCAAAATGGATAAAAGACCCAAATATGAGACACGAAACCATCAAAATCCTAGAGGAGAACATCTTTGACCTTGGCCATAGCAACTTCTTACTAGACTTGTCACTGAAGGCAAGGGAAACAAAAGCCAAAAATGAACTATTGGGACTTCATCAAGATGAAAATCTTCTGCATAATGAAAAAAACAATTGACAAAACTAAAAGGCAGTTTATGGAATGGGAGAAGATGCTTACAAATGACATATGTGATAAAGGGCTAGTATCCAAAAAATAAAGTACTTATCAAACTCAACACCCAAAAAACAAATGATCCAGTTAAGAAATGGTCAGAAGACATGAACAGACACGTTTCCAAAGAAGACACCTAGATGACTAGCAGACACATGAAAAGATGCTCAACATCACTCATCATCAGTGAAATACAAATCAAATCCATGATGAGATATCACCTCACACCTGCCAGAATGGCTAAAATTAACAACTCTGGAAACAACAGATGTTGGTGAGGATGTGGAGAAAGGGGAAATCTTTTGCACTTTTGGTGGGAATGCAAACAGGTGCAGTCTCTGGAAAACAGTATGGAGGTTCCCAAGGAGTTAAAAATACAACTACCCTATGACCCAGCAGTTATACTACTAGGTATTTACCCAAAGGATACAAAAATACAGATTCAAAGGGGTACATGCACCCCGATGTTTATAGCAGCATTATCAACAATGGGCAAACTACGGAGAGAACCCAAATGTCCATAGACTGATGAATGAATAAAGATGTGGTGTATATATATATACTCACTCAGCCACCAAATGGAATATTACTCAACCACCAAAAAGAATGAAATCTTGCCATTTGCAACAATGTGGTTGGAGCAAGACAGTGTTAATGCTAAGTGAAACAAGTCAGTCAGAGAAAAACAAATACCATATGTGGAATTTAAGAAAGAAAACAGAGGAACATTTGGGAAGGGGGAAAAAAGGAGAGAGGGAAACAAACCATAAGAGACTCTTAATGATAGAGAACAAACTGAGGGTTGATGGAAAGAGATGGGTGGGGAATGGGCTGGATGGGTGATGGGCATTAAGGAGGGCACTTGTGATGAGGACTGGGTGTTGTATGTAAGTGATGAATCACTGACTTCTACTCCTAAAGCCAATAGTGCATTGTATGTTAACTAACTAGAATTTAAATATAAATAAATAAATAAATAAATGTAAGTGGACAGATAAATGGATAAAGAAAATGGAATATTGCTCGGCCTTATAAAGGAAGGAAATCCTGCCATTTCCAAGCA